AATCCTAGTTCATACGAGAGCCAGACATGTACTCTTTCTAACACCGTTGGAATTTTCGGATTGCGATGTTCCAGTGAGGAGTTATCATGCCCGCCATCAAAAATAAGGACTTCTCTTTAATTACAAAAAACAACAACAAAACAATTACAAAAATTTTTTGTAAATTATATTTCTTCTCTTTTAAGTCTTCAAATATATATGTGCAAACCTTAACAAGCATTGGTATTGATTTACCAGCCCATTGAAAATATTGAAAAAATAAAATCGAGAATGGGGGGTTCCCTTAATATAAAAAGGGGGTTATATGGTGACTACCCCAAAAAGGGGGCGAATATTAATAATTTTTGGTGGGGAGATTTCTTACCATATACGACTACAAAATACCAAATTGCAGCCAATTTTGATAGAAAAACGCCCTCAAGAACCCCAAAATACCGAAAATTGGGCGTACCCTTATATGGGGCTATCCCAAAAAATAGACCTATATTTATAATTTTTACTGTAGAGATTTGCTACCTAATAAGAACTCAAAGTTCTAAATAACAGCCAGTTCGCTGAAAAAATGCGATAAAAATCCCCAAAATACTGAAAATGGGGGGGTACCACTGAAAATTGGGGTATATGGGGGCTACCAGAAAAAGTAGACCGATATTTATAATTTTTAGTTTAGATATTTGGGACCAAATAAGAACCCAATGAACCAAATTTCAGAGAATTCGTTTGAAAAACGCACTCAAGAACCCCAACATACCGAAAATTGGGGGCTATCCGAAAAAATTGACCTATATTCATAATTTTTGGTGGAGAGTTTTGGTACCTATTAAGAACTCAAAATACTAAATTACAGTCAATTGGGTGGAAAAATATGATCAAAACCCCCAAAATACTACAAATTAGAGGGTACAGTTATATGGGGGCTACCAGAAAAAGTGGATCTATATTTATAATTTTTTTGGAGACATTTAGTACTGAAAAAGAACTCAATGTACCAAATTTCAGCTTATTCGGTTGAAAACGCGCTCAAGAACCCCAAAATACCGAAAATTGGGGGGTACTGTTATATGGGAGCTATACCTAAACGGTATACCGATATATCCAATCTTCGAACTTGACCTGCCTGCAGACTTTATGCAAAATTTCAGCATTATATCTCAATTCTTTCAGAAGATAGCGTGATTACAACAGACGGACGGACGGACATGGCTAGATCGTCTTAGAATTTTACCCTGATCAAGAATATATATACTTTATAGGGTCGGATATGAATATTTCGATGTGTTACAAACGGAATGACAAAATTAATATACTCTCCATACTATGGTGGAGGGTATAAAAATAATTCTCTTTCCTCTGACTATAGTATGGACCCATTACATTTACTTTTAATTCGTGTTTTCCACCTTTTTCTAAAAACGTTGTTGTTTTAAATACATTTTGATATTTTCTTAGTTTAAATGCCACATATAAAAAATTGGATTTTTTTAGAACAAGAGGGAATGAAATTCATATTGCATTATGTATATAACAAAGTTTACGTTCTTCTGCATATATAAAAACTTGTAATTTTTTTACTTTTCATTCATCATTTTCAATTTTACTGAAAAAGTTTGAAAATTTTATAAATATTTTCAAGCTGTCAAAATTAATTTATTTTCGATAAATACTCTCAATTGTTAGGGATGGGACAAAATTCTTGGTTATTCAGAGAGTGAGAGTGAATTGAACAATGTACAAAAGTTGGTGTTCGCTCTGATAATTTTGCATGGGGAACTACGTAATTACTTCATAATTAAGGGCCGAACAACGAATGAGATAGGGAACAACGCTCGTCTGTACATGGCATAACACATTCACCATATCATTATGAATTTCTTGTCCCGATTATCCTTGTGGATGCGTCTTTTTTGAACACCTGTTTCCATATGAAGGAGTTGCCAGGTCGAAACAAAGTTTAACATGTGTTCATAACAGAAACGGAAGTTTCCAAAACACAAACCGTGCTTTTTGTGCTGGCTAAGAAGTATCCGAACTGCACGTTTTTGGTCAAATATTTGTCTTGTCTTGATTAAGCATATATAGTCTAAATGCGCCTTTAGTGTCAAAGACCTTGGTATAGTCATATAATAAAGATTAAGCGCCGTTTTGTGTTCTACTGAATCTATACTAATAAAAGAGTAAAGTGATTGACTGACTGACTGATTTAACGATTCATCAACGCCCAGACAAAACGGCTGAAGCTAGAATCTTGAGATTTTGGGTGAGCGTCGCTCTTGGACTAAATGTGACAGATAAGGCTGGGTTTTTGGAAATTCGTACTAGAACGGTACGAAAAGTACTAAAAAGTACTAATCTATACTAATAAAAGAGTAACGATTACTGATTTAACGATTCATCAACGCCCAGACGAAAGGGATGAAGCTAGAATCTTGAAATTTTGGGTGAGGGTCACTCTTGGTCCAAAGGTGACAGATAAGGCTGGGTTTTTGCAAATTCGTACTAGAACGGTACGAAAAGTACTAAATGTGTTACCATTTGTATTTGGCGAACCGGTAGAGCTAGAACTCTGAAATTTGGAATGGTGGTCGCTGATGGAGTGTAGGATAGGTGTAGCAAAGGGTTTTTGGAAATTCGAACTATAACTATCCGAAAAGTACGAAAATGTACTAAATTTGGTACAATTTCATAGCATGTGAATGGAGTGAACTTAAAACTTGAAATTTGGAATGTAAATTAACGTTGAGAAGTAGGGTCAATATGAGGAGAGTTTGGAAAGCGTGTACTCGTGTGTACGAAAAGTACTATATGGTACTATATTTGGTACAATTTTGATTTGGAGGTACAAATTGGGCTTGAATCCTGAAAATTGAAATTAACATTACCGTCGGAGTGTAGGATTGGGATATGTACGTAGTTTTGGAAATTTTTACTTATGTGTACAAAAAGTACTAAATCGTACAATAATTGGTACAATTTGGATTTGGGTGAACCGATAGAGCTGGAACAATGAAGTTTGGAGTTAGGATCATTGTAGGGATGTAGGATTAGGGTCAGGATTCAGTTTAAGAAAATAATACTTATGGGTACTAAATGGTACTAAATTTGGTACAATTAGAATTTTAGATGAACCAATAGAGCTAGAATCATGAAATTTGGAGTCAGGATCACTGTTGAGGTGTAAGATTGAAATATGTAGGAAGTTTTAGAAATTTGTACTAATGTGTACTAAATTTGGTACAATTTAAATTGTGGGTGAACCGATAAAGTTGAAATCATGAAATTTTGATTTACGATCACTGTGGGGGTGTAGGTTTGGGGTATGTGGGAAGTTTTAGAAATGTGTACTAAGTGTACCAAATTCGGTACAATTTAAATTGTGGGTGAAGGGATAAAGTTTGAATCCTGAAATTTTGATTCAGGATCACTGTGGAGGTGTAGGATTGGAGTATATAGGAAGATTTGCAAATTGGTGATATAGTTGGAATAATGAAATTTTCATTTAAGAACACTGTGGAGGTGTAGGATTGGGGTATGTAGGAAGTTTTGGAAATTGGTACTACTATGTACTAAATTTAGTACAATTTGAATTGTGCGTGAACCGATAGAGTTGGAATCCTGAAATTTTGATTTAGGATCACTGTGGAGGTGTAGAATTAGGGTATGTAGAAAATTTTGAAAATTGGTACAACTATGTACTAAATTTAGTACAATTTGAATTGTGGGTGAACCGATAGAGGTGGAATCCTGAAACTTGGTTTTAGGATCAGTGTGGGGGTATGATTGGGGTGTGTAGAATGTTTTAGAAATTCGTACTACTGTGTACTAAATTTGGTAAAATTTATATTGTGGGTGAACCGATAGAGTTGGAAAACTGAAACTTGGATTTAGGATCACTGTGAGAGTGTATGTTTGGGTTAAGTAGGAAGTTTTGGAAATTCGTACTACTGTGTACTAAATTTGATACTATTTGGATTATTATTAAGATTTTATCTAATTCATGATTTCAATTGGATTGCATGATGTAGGTAGTAATGGCAATTTTTACTTATGTGTTCTAAGTGGTACTAAATGGATACGAATTGGATTTAGGTGAACCGATAGAATCCTGACATTTGGAATTAAGATTGAGGTATGTGGGAAGTGTTGGAAATTCGTACTTATGATTGTCAAAGTAGGTAGTTATGGAAATTTATATTAATGTGCACTAACTGATACTCAATTTGGATTTGGGTGAAGCTATATTAGATTTTTTCGAAATAAGAATTACAAGAGTACAAATGGTAAAAAATTACAGCAAATTTAGTATAGAGGTAGATTTCTGTTGCGGTCGGAATGGGTGTGTAGAGTTGAGGTATAGAGGTAGATTTAAGAACATACTATGGCAGAACATACGTACTAAATGGTTCTAAAATTTTAATAATGACCGATATAGGGTTTAAATACATCCCACATTCGCTAACAAAGTTATAACACTTTATTTACACGAAGAAATAACACTTTTATAACTTACGAGTCTGCCAAATGGAAGAAGGTGTGCACTCAACGTCTCATTTGAGTGCTGAATTAAGATAATTCATTTGTGTCATTTTGTTAAATTTTTTATGACATCTATAAGAATGTTCGTATATATTGAAGACATCATTAGTTTAAACAAATATCGCAAAATAAGTTTCAGTGTCAAAAAAATTTATTGTCAAAATAAAAATCTAAAATTTTGTATTTAAAATCATATAAAGGCTCAGAGTTTAGAACAAAAAGCATATGGAATATGGGATAACCGAAAAATCCCAAAGAAACATAGTAATTTTAAATGTCGAATATATTCGACAAAAACACTGAAAGGGTTAAAAAAAATACATTGGAATTATTATAGGTTTATACATATATAATATTTTATTTTCATTTTTTCTTTGCCATAAATAAACTTAATGAATTATTCTAAAGAAAATCTTACAAACGATCATATTTCTAAAACCTAAAATTAATGACAACTGTCGTTATGTTTACATGCTGTGACGTGATTTACGAAAACTGCTCATTAGGCAGCAGGCAAATGTCAGTGCCACGAGTTCGACAAGAGCAACTGCAATGCCAGCATAACGAATTATGTCAATGTTAGATGACCAGAAGTTTGAGAATTCCTTACGGCAGCCAGGTTTTGTAACATATACGCTGGCGTCACAAGCACCGTTTAGGGTTCCGCAACAGGAATTTGGAACTGGCAGATTATTGGCGGTGTAATCGATAGAACCAGTAAGGCCGCAACATTTGAACTAAAAATGTGGTAAAAAAAATAATGAAAAATTAGACTGAGAGACATTTGATGAGAATGAGATGTGGTGACTTACGCTAATTTGTAAAGCATCCATTGGATATCCATTGGCGGAGTCATTCTTCTCCCAAACGGTGGTAACCACTTGATCCATGGAGTTTAAGAACTCGTTACGTTTGACGAACATCCATACCACCAAGGCAATTTGCAGGACGAAAACGATAAACATGAAGACGGCATACTGAAGGAAATTGAAAAATAAAATTATAGGTAGTGTAATATATCGGCGGCTATGTACATCTAATGTGAAGGCATCTACTTACAGTCGACATGCAACAGACATTTTCGCGTATCGCCCCACAACAGCCGAAGAATGCAATCACAAATACTATGCAACCCAAAATAATAATTAAAATTGGGATGAGATCTGTATTGATTGCATCACTGAAGTCCGATAGATCGCCAACATTGTTGATCATAATAGAACCAAAAACGATAAGTAAAATACCGCATAGCTGTGTTGATGAGAAAGGAGAAGAGAATAGGTTAATAAATAAAACATTAATCCACATCTAAGGCAAGGTCATTTTCTATTTATGGGCACTTGAAGCAAGCGATCTGAAATTTATTGCAGTTGGCCGATATCTTTATTATTTGCCAACCTATTCCAGGAACATTTGTAATAACTGCTTTATCTATCATTTGTTATCATTGATGAATTTCCATTTGACGATATGTCATCATTTAAGTATGAAAAAAAAAACAACAACAATTATGCCATACTTTTATAATATTGTGTTCTAGGGAACGGAAATTAGCTGTGGGTGTCAATATTTCACAAAATCGTTGGAGATAAAAATGTATAGTTTCAGAAACGTAGCCAGTACGTGCCATGGACATTTTTTTGCTGCAATTTTTGTACGATAATTTTTCCAATATAAATTATTCGGTAACATGAGAAAGTTTCATCGAAAATGCTATTTTTCAGAGGGGGTACAAAAATTATTGACCTTGTTTTATTAAATGTAATTCGAGAATTCCATTTGTAATTCAGAACATATAATTTGCATTTCGAGAATTTCATTTGTAATTAATAAAATTACCTTTCGAAATTCATAGAATTCAATTTTAAATTAACAAAGTTCCATTTGAAATTGAAAGGATTTCATTTGAAATTCATAACATTTGATTCGAAATACATAACATTTCATTTGTTATTCATAACGTTTAATTTTTAAATCGAAAAATATTATTGGTAACACACAAAGAATATGTATGAATTTGAAATGAATTGTTACGAATTACAATGGAAATATTATAAATTACAAGTGAAATGTTATGAATTTCAAATAGAATTCTCTGAATTCATTTCTTTGACATTCAATTGAAACTCTACGAAATTCAAATAAAATTCTTTAAATTTCAAATGAATATTTTTGAATTTCATATGAAAAGTTTAAAATTACAAATGAAATGTTGTAAATACCAATTACATTCTCGAATTACAACTGAAATGTTATGAATTGCAAATTGAGTATTCCAATTATAATTAAATTCTCGAATTACAATTGAAATGTTTTGAATAACATTTGAAGAAGGTGTAGAATAATTTGAGTTTCAAATAAAAGGTTATGAATGACAATTGAAATAATTTTAATTAAAATTGTAATACAAAAATTATCCCCTAATTACATTTGAAATATTTTGTAATAATTCAAATTTAATTCTTGAAATACAAATGAATTACAATTGAAGTGTTTTGAATTACTTCTGAATAAAGTGTAAAGCTAACAAATCGTGCAATTAATTTTCCAATTTTTTTTAGTTTTGTAAAGTTTTGGTTACGTTTTCTCTGCCAAAATTTCACACTACAAGATCTTTCATGAAAAAACATTGCTTTCTCTGCACGTGGTAATTACTTGATTTTGATTGAACACTCTATTTCCGATTGAGGTTTAATAAAAAAATTAAAACATATGTTATTTTTTTCTTATTCCAACACTTACCACAAATATTAAATTAAAAATATATAAAATATATTTAACGATATGAGCCATGCAATTCATCTTGACTGTTTTTTTTTTTTTTTTTTTTTTGTTAACAATTAACTAATTTAAATAATATATTTATTTTGTATGTATTTTAAATTTTTAGTTTAATAAATTCACTTGTTTATTTCCGCCGAATCGAATCGAATTAGCGGTCGTTGTTACGCTCTCGTTTAAATGCTAAAGTGAACTTGTCGTTGCGAATCGTTCGAATAATTTCAAGTATTTAACTAACAAAGCCTTTTAATGGATCCCAGGTATACCGCTTGGAACAATTTTGCACCCAGACTTCGTGTATCTTATCGAAGCTGTTATCATGGAGACAAACAAACAAACGAAACTGATAACAGAAGTTGGCTGAGAGAATTGGGGCTAGCTATCTGCCGCCCCCCACAATGTGTCACATGCACCTTCGTTTAGCAAAAACAAAAAACGAAGCAAATCCGAAAAGGCAAAATATAGTCCATATTCAAGGGATGTTGATTTCGCCGAACCAATCGGGCTTATTGGAATGAACCAAAATATATTAAAAACAACAAATAGATTTACAATGGCTCATTATCATTAGAGTTCTATGGGTATTTGCAAATAATGGACGAAATGTACTTAACAATTAATAGAACAAATGTGTGTACACATATATTCCATGTGCACATACATACAAATATACAAAGTTGCCTCTGTTCTGCTGGCGAAGGTGCTATTCTACCTAATTATGACTCATGCCACATTTAGTGATTTCCCCTAAATTTGACTTTTTTGAAAATCACTTTATTATAATCAATTGATTTAAATCCATTTAAGAAATTAAAAAGCTAATAAAGAAATACATATTTTATTTTAGTTCATATTCATAATTTAAATCTTGTAACTAAGTTATTTTAATTTTATTTAATTTGTGAATAATTAATTTGCGAAGAGAATATCCAATTTTATTATACGTGACATATCGTTATATATTTCTGAAGATTGAGTCAATCGGTTCTTCTCTTCTGACATCTCCCACAAATTATAAAAATGTTTAAATGCAAATGTTAACCGCCACTATTTGACAACAGATGCTATGCAAAAAGCTCCTTTCAGATCCTCAACACGCTATCTGTATCTGTCACCAGGTTTCCAACTTCATCTCTACAGGTGAATGTGCCTCCACCAAAGCCTTCGGTTTGGGATTTTGCTCGCTGGTAAAATTTCGTGACTCCTGTTCATCTTGATTTGCCCCGTTCACGTTTTTTTTTTCTTTTTCTGAAAATACGTTTCTTCTCTATACTTTTCTCCCTCACATTACGTGGTGATACTGTCTGCAGGTTGTAGGGAGTGGGCAATTCGTTGACATTATGTTTCTATGTTATTATCGGGACAATGAGTGATTTCGTCAAGCAGGTAAGTTGAGCGGAGTAGGCTTCTGCTACCTGTTGTGTTTGCAGCTTTTGAACGTCGATTTTCTGTGTTGTGTTAGATTGCACCTTTGCTGCTACATTAAGACGAGTGCGAACCTTGGCTTCTATAAGATAGTGGTTCGACTCGATATTAGATTCTCGAATCGATCGAACTCTAAAACACTAGATCAATATCTTTCGTCTATCACAACATGATCGATTTGATTTCTCGTTGTTTGATCGGAAGAAATCCAGGTGCCCTTGTGTATATCGAGATGCTTGAATCTGGTGTTGTTAACTACCATGTTTTATTGGAATCATAAAATTACAACTGAAATGTTTGTAATTATATCTGATAAGAGGTGTGTAAATACAATTAAATAATATTCTCTTGTGAATTTTTATCGGTGCCATTTAATGTGGCCCATGAACTTTTATTCGTGTAAAAATTGTAACGAGTCATACCAATTTGGCTCTTCTGTTGACTTTGAAGAATTACCAAATTCATAATTTTTACTTCTTTTTCTGTTTTGATGCACACTTTTGTACTCTCATGGTATGTTTCATAGCAAATACAATTTGACAATTAATATATAAAAACTAAAACATATCTTTATTGTCTTTGCGGTTATTAAATTATATTTGCCAACAAATTTAAATGATAAGAAATTACTAAAATAGATAAATAAATATTGCGTACATAGAAAACAACCGATGACTCAGTTAACGATGACTGTAGATACAGTCCTGTTCATTAGAATAAGTAGGTCGTTATCAGCATCTGTATTTAAGAACATTTTTGTTAGCTTTTTTTTTTGGATTTTTGAATCTCAGAATGGACAATAACTTTAATGTGTTAAATAAAATTGTTTGCAAAATTTTAATTAAAATTTAAAATTTTGAGTATTAGATAAAAATAATGTATTTTTTTGCAAAAAATGGTAATATTTGTGAAATGCTTAATATTCGTAAACAAGTTGTAAATTGTCATGGATAATTCGAAAAAAAATTAAATTTATTCGAGTTTACGTTATATTTAGCCCACATTACGCAGAGATTTTTTCCTCAAAATCTTAAATTTAATTTTAAAAAATTAATATTTTATTAATAAATATATATTTTTGAATAAAATTTTGTTTTAGCATAAAGCAAGATAGAACAAGATACAACAATAAAATAAAATAATTTATTGAAATTCGCTTATATGAAGGCTATTATCTCGAAGTGGTATTGTTATTTTCGGTGTTCTTTAAAAGAACGATGGCGCCAAATGAGTAAATATATGTCTAAAATATCATCCTAAAATTAATTTCAAAATATCTGCTGTTATAAGCTGTATACCTCTGGCTTTCATGATTACAAATTTATTTGATTTCCTTTTTATAGTTTGACACACAATTTTATGTTGTTTTTTATTAAAAAAAACATTGTCATCCCTTAAATTTTATAAAATATAATTGGTCAGTTCCCTTACTGCAATAATCTACTAGTTTTTACTATTTTTGTCGATATCATAAAGGAAAATTTGTTATCGTAGTAAAAAGTAGTATAATCTTGCAGTACGGGAACAGACCAAAAAATATAACCTCATAGCCAATATTATCATGAACGTGTACTAAAACTTCACGAAGAATGAACATTTTTACAAGATAATTGTTAAATTAGAATCTAAAATAAAAATCACCGCTAATTCGGTTCAAAAACGTGGTCAAAATTTTATTGGGTACCGTTTTACCATCTCCATCTCAAACCTATTGAACATTGATGTGAACAACTGGTTCGGCAACGATGAAAAGGAATTTTGCAAGCAAATATTCTCTCAAATTGAAGATATTATTTTTGGTCTTTCTGGTGGATCTATATGTAGATGCTCAATATTATATATATATATATATAAATGTATACATATAAATGTAAAAACTTATAAAAATTATATGTGTATAGAAAATATAGAAATTTTTTCTTCAATTATGAGTTAAAATACCTCAAGAATGAAAGTTGTGATGAGTTAATCACATGTTGTGCAAATCGCTACTCGTTAAAATCAATATCACATGTTTCTCAACAAGATATCGAAAAACTAAAAGTTGTGCTGATTTGTGCTAGCACAACTTTTCGTCCATTTTCGAAAATGGTAAGAGATATCAAAAAATGGTAAGAGATATCAATTGAGCACAAGATGTGCTCAATTCTGCACAATTTCATTTCTTTGAAAATTGTAATTTTGCTTTATCGCTATTCGTTAATTGTTGGTAGAAAGATTTGCTACCCAATGGGGGTTCAAAGTACCAAGCTACAGGCAATTCGGTTAAAAAAACGTGCCAAAAATCCCCAAAATACCAAATATTTGGTTATACCAAAACTTGGACCAATATATAAAATTTTCAATATTATAGTTGTGGCAAAATTTGAAGTAAAAATTCAAACTTTACAATCTTAATTTAGTATGAATGCAAAAACATTCTATCAATGATAATCATTTTCGATATTCACTTTATTAATATGAAAATACATGAAGAATTTGTTGTAGGGTTTGGTATTTTTTTGATATGGACACTTTTCGTTACTTTGTTTTGATGATTGCAACTTTCCAAGAATATACAGTTATTTTGCTCTATCCAAACATTTTTTGATAAGAACGTTAGAAAACTCCTTGAGAATAGAGGTAATCGGAAGACTGATTACTTTGCTGCTATCTGATGATTTCAGGAGATATTTTATTCTTAAAAAAAAACATGGACTCCTGTGTTGTTGTTTGTATCATACCAAGCCTGGTATTTATCATAGAACATAGAAGCCAATGAACTTCGTTTCATTATAGAATATATTACGAGTAGACAACAAATTTGAGGTATAAAATAAAATAAATACTATAAAGTTTAACATTGTCATCAATAAGAAAAAAGTGTTGAATCAAAAAAGTACTTCACACTTTTCAGCATATTTCTATTATCTTTTATAGTAATTTCATAACTTTGATTTCAAAAGAGGTACTTCATTGGACACATTTGTACTTCCTTAATCAAATTGTTTATAAACTTGGCCAAGTTACGTATCGGTACTAATCTAATCAATATAAAATAATAAAATAATCAAAAAGATTGACATTGTGTTCTTTTTTTGGGAATTCCAATAAGTGGTTGGGGGATTCACAATATATATGTTATTTCTTGGAATATATATTTAATTAATTACTGACATACATACATATAAATGATTTAGTACCCATGTTTGTTTATGCAAAAATAAAATTTGACAGTGTTTAGAAAAGTATTATTATTATATTTTTTATTTTATTAATATTAATTTGTACACTTTAAAATTAGTACAATCAACGATATAATACGACAAATGAAATTTAAAAGAGATTCCTTATAATGTTTACATGGTTTACAACTAAACCAGTTTATGGAAATGAAGACATTTTGTTGAAATGTGAATGGGTTTTTTGTTTTAATGTCTCCATTAACGTTTTTAATATCTAATTTACACTATTATTATATTTGGATCCTCGTTGGGTGGTGTTGGGCGGATACGATAGTTTGTAAATGCCTCCAAGTTGACGGCTAATATTTGTTTATTTGAAGCTGGCTTTCGTTGCTGTTGTTGTTCCTGTTACGCTTAAATAACTTCTTAGTAGCCGGATCGACGTTTGTAGTTGCGAATATTATTGGCCAAGCAACAGGCAAATATAAAACCGGCAAACTGCAAAAAATAACAAAAATGGATCTTAGATTAGTAAAAGTTATTTGGAAATAGTTTAGTTATACAGCTAAACGAAATTGCATATAATAAATTTGTTTGTGATGACAAAGTAGAAATGTTAATTTAAAATTTTTAAATTAAAATTTTTAAATCAACTTCATCAAAAGAAATTACTAACGCAAGAATGTGCCCATAACACCCAAAATACCGAAATTTGGGAGATACCTCTTTTGGGAGCTATGGTAAAAATTGGACCAATATTGAACATTGTCAGTAGGAAGATGGAAACTCAATATACCAAATTACAGCCAAAAATGTTCCAATTCCCTAAAATACTGAATTTTTGTGGGTATCGTTACAAGGAGGCTATACTATAACGTGGACCGATATATCCCATTTCCAACAATACTAAACAACCGAGAGTAATAGCAATTTATTTTCAAAATTTCAAAGCTCTACCTTAACCCTACGGTTAATACCAAAAAAAGTATACGTATGTATGTAGATCAATAATCGGGTACATTTGTACCCATTCAAATCAATCTGAGCTTAAAGGAATATTCATATATTAAAATACATGTCTAAATAATCTATCTAAAACAATCATAGTAATTTCGTTTCCGAATGGGCTTAGCTTCTTTAATTATTATTTTACAGGGATCTAATTTAGGTGTTACCCAATATCTTAGCTTAATCTTCTAAACTGTGAGTGTCTATAGTTTGATATTCCGTTTTCTCCTGGAAATATCTAAATTACCATGACATCTTCCTCAAATAAAAGTCCCGATTGATTTTAGGTATACTGAATATTCACCTGGAGGGTATAAAAGTTCGACGGAACTTAATAACGTTTTTGCTTTTATATTTAGCACTTTCATTCCATGGGTAGGCTAAAATTACTCAACGTATGTTTTTATCGGATACATTCAGATAATTATCTAATAACAAAAATAGTCCTGGAAAATTGTTTGACCCCGACTTATAGAACTCAACGCTGCAGACATTTACGAAATATAGGTAGACAAAACCGACTGATACTTTGGTACTTGTTATAAAAAATTAAAATCAAAATAATGACTATAATTCATCAGTCCCCAAAAGCTACCTTATAGAGAAATACAATAAATTAATTTTAATATATCTGTGTACCTCAATTGCGGCAATAACCAGACCAGCGTATTTGATGATATCAGCATTTCTATCCCAGAAATCGACGAAGGCTTGTTTGCAGCCAACCCTGAATGCGGTAGAATCATTACACTGGCGTACATCCTTGCAGCATGAGGGTGGATAATATCCTTGGAAATGATAGTCATCACGACCACTTCGGCCACAGCATTCCATCTGTGTGTTAATAAAAAAAACGACATTTCTTAGTAAAAACTCAAATCTACAAATCGATGAATACTTACGCTTATTTGGAGAGCATCCATATAATCGGATTTGCGTGTCCTATTTTGCCAGGCTTTTTCAACAACATCGCCCATAATGACCAAATACTTGTCCTTTTGCAGCCACATGTATGTCACCAAAACCAATTGACCAATCATTAATACAAACAAAAGTATAGAATACTGAGGATAAAGACAACAAAGCATATATCAGAATATCAATCAGAATCAGAAAAATAAACCGCAATCATTAATATCGATTTTGAATATATCAAAATATTGGTGTTTCCCAACATATGACACCTGTTACTTACTGTCATTGACATGCAATAGCTTTCACGAATGGCACCACAACAGCCGAAGAACGATATCAGCAAGATGACAATACCCAATACAATCATAGTCAGGGGAACCTGTTGTGTTTTAACCGCTTCCGCAAAATCCTCCACCGTATGTATATTGGAGAAGAGCAGAGAACCAAACACAATCAGCAAAATGCCACATATCTAAAAAGATTGAATCAAATATTTATATTAGCTTATCATTTCTAAGTCAATTTAAATAAATGTAAAGAAATAAAATGAATTCTGAATAAGAAATCCAACAAAGGGAAAGAAGTGTATTCTAATCAACGCGAATTTGGATGGGGTTATATGTACATATCACCTTTCTTGTGTTTGGATATTGAAAGAAAGTATTCCAAATGATATTGAAAATACGGCCATAAACAATAGACAATAGGAAAATTGAATAGATGGTGTGTGTCGTGAGAGATTTGCTGGCAGAAGAGACACCTATTTAGGACTCCGGGGACAATGCGCTCTCGATACAAATTGAGAATTTTGCTGCATTGTGCCAGAATCGAACGGGTTTGCCTAGGAAAAAGCCTTTGACTGTCCGAAATTCCAGGAGGATGTTGCGCTGCGGAATTCTGTCGTCAGCGGGGCATTTGGCACGAAATTGGTCGCGTTGCTGTGCCAATCTGTATGACCTGGATGGATACTTTGGTCTCATCCACACTCTTCCACACCTTTCCCGGCGCATACGGATTGAGGCATAGGATTAAAGAAGTCCTCAATGAATTTTGTAAAGTAGTGCAAGGATAGGAATATAATCTGAATTTAAAGCGAACATGGTTTGCCAGGAAGTAGACGGAACTAGCGATGGGCTGACTAATGATATGTCCGGAGAGCTCGAACACCTAACAGTAGCTCTGGTAGAGGATTCCTCATTGATGGAAACGAAATCCAATTCCTCTGGGTCGCAATAAGAGTATAAGGAAACCATATCTCAAGAGGTTTAAATAGCCAAGACTAATTTTATTATCTCCCTGCAGCAAATGGATGTTGTTTGGATAGGAAGTTTTGAGCATTCGATGTTGGAATTGAAGGACAAGAAGGACTGATAGTCGGAACACTGCACTATAGGTAATATGGACAGTTTTTTGGGCAAAAAGTCATTTTTTTCAATTTTGGAAAATAATATATTTTTTGGTGGCAATAAAAAGAAAACATGTCAAAATTTATGATTCTGTAAGATTTTTGCGTAAAAGTGTCTTAAAAGCGGTGGAAATCGTAGGCAAAATCTACACTTTGGAAATAAAATTAAAGAAATAAAAAAATATAATAAAACAATATATTTTTTCGAGCTTGAGGTATTTTTTTTATTTATTTTTCACGATCAATATTTCGCAATTGTTTTAAATTGCATCTTCAGGGTAATAAATAAACTAGTGTCAAGTTTACTTAAAACTATGATAGACTTCAAACGAAAAAAAAGAATACTCTCGAATTTTGATTACAAAATAAATAAGAAGACTCGTAAACCGCAAATAGGTAGTTGAAGGAAATATTATAAGAAAAAATCTAAAAAGTGGAGAAGAGGAAATGGCGGGCTTGGGTTTCCCTTAGAATATAAACAACCAAAAATTTATTTTTTTCAGCATTGATTAAAAATAAAAAATGACATATGGAAAACTGTTGTTCAGTATATCCAGGGTTTACTATAATCGTGTTCGACTGTAGTACGCATGATTTTATCTCACTTTTACATATTAATAACATTAAAGAGTAAAAATGGGTACTGAATTAATAGTTATTAATGCATTCTGCGAAAACACACAACATTGTAATAATTATTCCTTTAAAAATCTGATCGCGGGGTCGAAATTTTTTTAACACACTACCCTAATAGTTTTCAACCGTTTGTTGTGTTTAAGAAAACTAATGAAAATATCTTTCTTGTACACATAACTCATTTAAAAAGTCAAAAAATCGTTTAACACCGCTGTTATTATTTTTTGCCTCAAAACAGGGCAAATTACCTATAGTGCACTGGAATGACTTATACTGGATGAATGTCCAGACGGAGTGCTAACTGTAGAATAGGAAGAGAAGCAAGTAGAATAACTAACTTGATTACTAGCATGAACACCTGTGGTAGCTCTACTTGTTGGAGAACTAGACTGAGTGCTAGTACTGGAATCACTAGTCGGACTACCAGCATTGGAACTAGTAGGAGTTCTGATTGACGGTGAACTAGCCGGAGTGCTAGCAGCAGAACTGAAGGAAAAGCTAGTACAATAACTAGATGTGCCACTAGTACACACACTAGTAGCAGTACTATCGGATGGAAAGCTAGACGGAGTGCTAGCCGTAGTATTGGAGGGACTCAACTGGATTCCAGCGGATAGTGCTGGATTATTAATGCAGCAATCAGCTACAAAGCCGGAATTCCAATTCCTGACTGAACGCAGGTCGTTACATCTTCTCATATGGCTGTCGCTGAGTTAATACCTGGCCGAGTCGAACTCGGGTCGTTCTGGAGCGTATATCCGATTGTCGTGATAAAGTAGATTAACCTGGTTAAAAGCTCTAATGTACATGTTAAAGTCTCAATAAAATAATATCTTGAATCTATCTTAAATTAATATCAGGTCGAAACAAAACTCGATTTTGGAAAGAGAAAAAAAAAACAAATCAAAACAGAGTCTGACCTGTGCGATTAGAATTTGCAGATCGATCGGTTCAGTTCATATATATTAGGTTGGGAAAAAAGAAATCCATTATGAAGATGTCGATAAAATCTGGCTAGAAACGTCGTGTCGTGTTCCACACACAACAAAACGGTGCATATTTGGCCCAAATCGGAGTTTCCGAAGCATGTTAAATAAAGTCCTATAGTTCATATAAAAATAATGGATTTCTTTTTCCCCAATCAATTAAAATGTGATTCAAGTTTTATATTTCTTTCATAAAAGTTCATTTACATTACACTGGGATAAATAAATCCAATGGGTTTAACTTGACATTTGGTGTGTCTGGTTACTTTTCCAGTAACATTTACTCAGTAAATTCTAGTTCAGAGAGTAAGCCGTTTTTACTCTCTTTTGCGATAATACTGAGAAAAGTAAACAGACAACATTTAGTAAGATTTAGCAAATAAACAGCTGATTCAAAAAAACATTTGATTTGCGCCAAAATAAACAACAATATTAAAAATAAAATGAATAATAAAAGAAAAATTTATTTGGTATGTTTCCCGGGAATATTTAAGCATCCTGCATCAATACATAGCCCTCTATCTGGAACTTGCCTATAAATATATAAAGAAGTAGTTTCTAATTTATGAAACATTGCATTACTTACGATTTTTCTTCCATTTTCTGTAATTTTTATACAACTTAACTTCAAATTGAACTTTGCAGATTAAAAAAATATTTTGAATAATTTTTGTATTTAATCATAAAACAGCTGATTCAAAAATGGGGTTGCAAAATCTTACTGCATAAAATTCTTTCAGTAAACTCCAGTAAGTTTGTTGTTGTTGAACTGTCAAACTTGCTCTGTCACTTGACTCTCTTTTACTGGATTTTTGGGTAAGCAGACAACATTTAGCAACATTTGGTAATAATTGTTACCAAATATCGAATATACAGACAGATCTAGTGTCGTGAAGAATTGATTGTGTTTGCAATAAACTAACGTTTGAAAAGCTTGGAGGATATAAATATTTTTAGTACTTATACTGAAGTCTCATTTATGCAATTTGGCATACTTCCACACAATTCCATTGGAAATATTCTTCCATTCATCTCAGATCCGTTGTCAAATCTAGTCTAAATTGGTATGGGCTATTGGTACAAATTATCATTCGGATTGAGGTCGGGACTTTGTGCTGGCCACTGCGTTTTTTTTTCGATTTTGCTCGCCAAGATAATCTCTCTCGATTTTGGACGTGTGTCTTGGATCACTGCCTTGCTCAAAATTACTTCTTCTACCAAAACCAGTGGATATGACTCTGCAAAGCACTCAATAGACTTAATATAAAAAATAATCGAAGACACGTGATTCTTAATGCAATTTATTTTTGTATATTTCCAAATGATAAAATAGTTGTTAAATTTCTAGAATCAGCAAGAATCTACTATTTATTGCATTTGATTTCGATTTTCCATGTAGAAATTTGTAAAGTGGTAGCTACAAAAAACCAACGAAATCGGCCTATTTTACGGTTGTAAATTGAAAAATGATTTTAATAAAACGAGACTGACCTGTATTAATGTATTATCTTTTGATTAATGTAGATAATTAATAAATAAAATATTACTAAAAATATATTTATTCCCAAGTTCAAATTAAATTTATCTGTGTTTTTCTTTGTTTTGAAAAAAAAAAACATTTCTATAATACATGTAGATAATTGTTAATACGACATCGTATTTTTGTTTACAGTTGAAAATCTATTTTGCAAAAATAATTGTCAATGATTCAAAAAGTGTTCCTTAATTTACGTTTCACAACGGAAAGCTGGAATGTTTTCTTTTTTTAATAAATGGGGAGGAGACAAATGAGATTCAAATGTAACAAGTGGCAGGGGTGACGGAACGTGAGAATATTTCACAACAACAAAAACAATTCGCATTTATTTTTAATATTTCATGATGATGCCATGAAATTTGAAAAACCAAAACAAGCTACGAAAATGTTTGTTGTTGTTTTTTTCGGTCTTCATTTCATTTCTTCCAACAAAGACGTTTTATTATTCTTTTAAATGCTAAATATTTTGATATTATATAGAATATGACGTAAGTGTTTCCGAATTTAATTAATATTAAATTTATGCAAAACATATTTGCAATACCAAAAAAATATATATACAATACGAAATTCCAACGTCAATTGTGGGAGCTGCTCTCACTCAATATAACTCAGCACAACAAATGGCTGTACATTATAACAGTATAACGAAAAACTGTAATGAATACTCTTCGATAGATATGTACATATTTAAATTACATCTGTATGTATTGTATGTGAGAATATGAATTCATTACTTCCGAAGTCAAAACCCTCATTTCACTATTGACTCAGTTAACTTAGTCAGTGGTCTACTGACTGCTGCGAAACTTTCAGTTTCGTGACTTTTTAACATAAATGACCATACATATGTACTCGTATCTATGTATGTACGTATATTCATATATCTTCAAACCAATTAAATTAGTTGATCTCCGTATTTGACCCTCTTGTGGGACAAAATAATTATTGATTACAAATTCATTGTCGTGCATAGTAATAACAAACGAGCTCATAGAGGGCGATATGGAGTGTTAATGTTTCTCCGTTTCACTCTTTTCACGCCCAAACATAAAAAATATGAATTCATTTTCTTGTTTTGTTTTTTATTTTTTTATTATTTGACTATAGAAATGTTGAACATTTTGTTTGTTTATATACATACGTACATATAAAACAACAAACCATTTTTAGCAATTGCCAGTTTGAACAGCTGCTGAAGTATTTTTTTTTTTCTAATTGCTACAAAATGTGGTTAACCTCGAGTTGGGGAAACGCTGAATGCATTTTTGTAAACAAGTTTCAAACATAAATAATATTGTTTGTTTCATACAACCATAGATATGTTATATGTGCATGTGTATAAGTTATTGACAATTTCGTTATCTATCTCAAAAAAGCTCAGCAATGATTTATATTTTAATGTTTTTTAGTTTTAAATTATTTTAGAACACTCAAATATATATCACAATGACATATAGTATCTTCGTGCATATTCAAAATTGGACCCTGCCATATGTTAACATTCACATCTTCGATACTCATTTTTACTACAAACTATTTTGCAGCGTTCTGTTGTAATTAATTGATGTTTGGGTAGATTTAGTATTGCCTTGAAACTAGTTTCTAATCCAATGAGATTTTTGTCTCATAGTAGCACGGAAGCTACAGGCTAGAATTGGTTAACGTTGGAGGGGGAAACATTACGGCAGTGATGAAATTAAACTATTTAAAGGTGTGTCTATTAAAATGTGATTCAAATATTGTATACCGTCATCGTAATATTCGACAAGATAAAAACAACTTTTTTCGTTCTGAAGAAATCAAAAATTTTGTTTTACAAATGTGTCCAATAAGCTTTTGTAAACTCTCCCATTTACATAAATGTTTGCAAAATTTGCAGATAAGTTGCTGATTGTCATATATATAGAGCATGGTATGACAGATAGTCATCTGTTTTTATAATCTCTCATCTTTAGTCATCAATATTTTTAAAGCCTTGATCAATATTTATTTCAGTGAAGTCTTATAGAACATGACTTGCATTGCTAGTACTGTTCAAACTTTTACTGGACACTACTCATGCAGTCATATGTTTCCAAGTTTTTCATAAATTTGCTTTTTACAACATTCCGCTTTAAAAATTGAAATGAAAATATCTTCCTTCGAAATGTACGAAATTTCGAAAAACGTTATATTTAGTAATATATTGAAGTTCCCAGTCTGTAATACCTATAAATAGGACCATAGTTAAATCTTCTATTAAAAAATAAAATGCCGCCAATGTTTCATGAATCATGGAAATACAATATTGAATAATAAATATAACAATATTGCAATTGGTTTTTAAATTTCGTTAATTTTACAAAATGTATATACTTATAAGTATATCAAAATGTATATTCTTATATAAATATGTTTTCCAGTATTGAAAAAAGTGGCAAGATTCAATATATATTTATAATATTATTATTTTATAAATAATTTGTCTGTAAAATATGTAACAAAAACCTCAATCCAAGTAAATTGTTTAATTTTTTTATGTCATCTTTTTTCTCGACATAACCGAGTTTCAGTTGTGATAAAAATATATTCACAGAGAAAAGCTTTTCTCTATATTTTCTTAATTTCCAATAATGTAAAATAAACAAAATAAGCAGATATGTTACATGTATTTGGTTGTTGTTTCATTCCATTTTATCCAGCCATGGTTTTACATATCCTTTTTCCTTTGAATATACATAACAATTTGAAGAACCATATTGAAATTATAACCATGTAATGGACATGTATAGCTTTTCTAAAAACCCTATCATACGTTCTATCGTTCAGGAGATGCTGAAGTTTAGACATGTTTTGTCAAGAACGATTTCAATCCTTACACTTATTAGTACAGCCTTTGTATAGAAAATTGCTGGTAAATTTTAATGGAAAAATGCACTTGCCAGAAAATTATTCGTACATATTCAACATAAAATTTCAAACTCAAGAATATGTTGCCTGTGTTCAATGTTTTTAACAATGATTTGTTGAAGGTTGTAGGGGAGACTAGGACACCTTCGGCATCGGAGAACATTCAGCAATAGCGTTTGCGATATTAATCTCACATTGTACATCACAAGCTTTGATCCAAATGTATCGAATATAAAAATAAATAAATTTACTTTGTGTAGGATTCGTACGCAAATTTGAAATCTCTATAAAAGAAACGATTTTTCAATCAATTAAAAAAAAAAAATATTTTCATCTACTTTCGCCGTCTTCAATTGACACATAAGCCATGGTATAATAAGAAAGGTAGTCTCATGTATCTGAAGCATGGGTACTTGCTCAAGCAGATGATGCAGCTCTTGGGGAGTTTGAAAGAAAAATTCTCCGAAAGATCTACGAGCCGATCTGCGTCGACGGTGAATATCGGCGTCGAATGAACCACGAGCTTTACAATTTATACGCGGACATGGACATAGTCAGTCGTATTGAGCTGCAGCGACTACGGTTGCTAGGCCATGTTTTGCGAATGATTTGCGAATTTTAGGTCAAAAATTGGCGATTTTCCAAAAATATGTTTTCAAAGGTCCGCAATTTTGTTAATTTTAGAGCGAAGTCAATGATCCTAGTTCATACGAGATCCAGACATTTCTCTTTCTAACACAGTTGGAATTTTCGGATTCCGATGTTCCAGTGAGGAGTTATCATGCCCGCCATCTTTAATTACAAAAAACAACAAGATTAATTTTTTGTAAATTATTTTTCTTCTCTTTAAATCAATACCAATGCTTGTTAAGGTTTGTAACTTTGCACATATATATTTGAAGATTTAAAAGAGAAGAAAAATAATTTACAAAAAATTTTTGTTATTATTTTGTTGTTGTTTTTTGTAATTAAAGAAAATCCCTTATTTTTGATGGCGGGCATGATAACTCCTCACTGGATTATTGACTTCGCTCTAAAATTAACAAAATGGCGGATCTTCGAAAAAATATCTTTGGAAAATTGCCGAATTTTGACCAAAAACCGAGTTAAATAATAAGAAAGATCTTCACTGATTGGCTTTATCCTAGTTCATACGATAGCTATACACTCACAGAGAAACGTGTAAAATTAAATTCTTGTGGACCTCGCTTCATTATATTTACATCCTTGATGATAATGCTCACATGGTAGTACGACTTCTTCTATTATTAAAACGGTAATTTCTTCAATCTTCTTCTTCCCACCTAAAAGGGAACAGATTTTTTTCTAATCAAGAATTAATTCAAAAGACATTGTTTAATATATGAAATTAATTCTTCTAATTTTAGAAAGGATTTCTGCAATATTCTTCCTACAGCTTAAATATTAAATAAAAAAAATTTAAAATACTTTTTAATAGCTTTTGAAATACTTACCGAACATAGCAGATTGAACAGAAATAGAGTATATTTAACCATTGTCATTCCGCAACTCATGATGAAAAAATGTTTCTATAACTGAAATTTAAAACAATTGTATTATATCCAAAATTTTGCATTTATTTTACACGTTTTTGAATATCTAACAAGTGTGTATGTAGTATTAATGGTTTTATTCTATATGTACTATTTTTAACAGTATTATAATGTACATTGGTATACTCGTAGTCATTTGATTGTAATATTTAATTGACATGTTTAAAGTACAGATTTTGCTCCTTGCACTGGTGGAAAGTTGTCGCTTTAAGTCCAAAAGTAAACAATTCCATTTATGGCGTTTACAAAAATACACTTAGGTCATTTGTTGAAATATTTATTTCAATAAAATTTTAAAAACACAATGCACCAACTAAGTCAAATTAAGCAAAAACAAAAAGTTGTTATAAAATAAATTAAATGCGTTGGCGCATAATAATTCTTTTCTTTGTCGTCAGTAATTAGTGAGTCAGTATAAAATAACGGTCTAAGTGTATGCTAAAAGTGTGTACATAGTTTCCAAATATGTACTATTTAAAATTAACTTAAAAAATATATTTATTTTCAATGCATTGCTGTTTTCCCACATCGCACATCAACAATGTCTTATTCATTGACGAACCAATTCGGGTAGTAGCTTTTCCTTGGGTAACAATGACGACTTCAGTTCATAGAATTTTTTCCAAATCCATGGATTGCTGGCCACCTTGAGCAGTAAAGCCTCACGGCTATGTGTAGTGGCTTCAACTTTTGACAAGTGCTGATAGTACTTGGCGTTTTTCTTTATGCTCCCATTAGCATCTTGGTCATAGCGAGCAAAACGCAGCTTCAACAGTGTCTCCGAAATGTCAAGTAAACGATTGCCCTTGGGTGGATGCACCAAACACAATTGTGAGACCACATACTCGTCTGAGGCTTTCTTGTTTAGTGGAATAAATGTGGCCTCTTTTCCAACAAGACACTGCTGCAACCATGCAAAGCCATTACCATTTACCTTCACACCAGGCAATTTAATTGGTAGTAAACGCTTGTTACTCATAAAGAATGGTATCAGCGGACGGTGACTGATATACAGTAGAGTATCTGTACCTTTCTGTTGAATATCTGCAATGCGTCCGGTGTGCATAACGCGTTCATTTATCAAACGATCTGGTATGTGAGATGGTTTTTTGAAGGGACGCACCAGATATGCCGGTTTACGTTTAGCATAGGCTGCCAGCAACATTAGTCCCGAGGTGCCGTAGATTAGAACTTCTGTACCCAGCGTTTCGCGTTCCATCAGATTGCATAAGTTTTGATATTTTTCACTGAGAAAAGATTTCGTTTTGTCCATATTGGAGGATTCGTGTTCGTTCCTTATCACAGAAATAAAAGTGTTTCAGCCTTTTTGTTAGTCTTTGTGTTGCCCTCTTTTTTAAGTACTTAATTTGTGTGAGTTTTCGATATTTTTCTGTTCTGTTCGTGATATAACCTACAAAATTGAGACACCGATTAGAATTGGACGCGTTAAGGCTATTATAGAATATTTTAAATATTTTAGCAAGCAGTAGGAGGAGATGACCTCATAGGTTTTTAATAAGCAAGATCGATGATCCTCTCACTACAAAATACCCCACACAGCGGATGTCCAAATTGTAGGAGATTGTTTGTGACTTGGGCAGTTTGACTGCTGTTGTCGTTAATATTGCGGTTGCTTCTTTAGTTGGTCAGCCAGCGTACGGTTGGACCTTTAGCCCCGTTTGGTATTATTCAATAAAATTGATATATATACAAATGATACAGTGTGTATTTTCGATGCGAGTCTTTCAACATTCAACTTTGTCCACTAAATTCGTTTTGATTTGATTTTGAACTTTCACTGACATTCTGTTTGTGTTTTATTTATAAAATGTCAATTTTGTTTTGTCCCCACCTATTCGTTTGGTTTTGACATTTCTTTCGAGATGTTTTTTTTTTTTATTTTATGCTTTGTTTCGTTTATCAAAACAAAAAACAAGTTTCCAATCCCTTTCATCTCCCACCATTTACCCCCTCCCCCTCCTAACCTAACAAACCTATGATCCAAACAACAACTACACATGCATCTGTGTTCACTGTATTCACGCTGTGAGCTTTAAAGCTCTTGCATCATAAAACCATTAGCACAAACATACACACATACGCACATAATGTATATTCATTGCGCGCTTTTGAGAGGTTAGTTATTTTGAATATTATTAAGATTATAACTTGAAACGTTCCGATCTTGTCCATCAACAATACCTGTTTTTTTTATTTTCACAAAAACTATTCGATCCGAAACAAATGTTTGCTTTTGAGTTTTATTAGCGTTGTTGCCTGTTGAGCGTTAAACACGTCTAAACCACCGCGATGTTCGTTACAAACTGACTGCTCGATTAATAGTGTTAACTTGTGTTTGGAACGAACGAGACGCTCGGACTACCAGTACGTCCACCACCAACAGCAGAGAATTCATTCCGAATTGATGATGTTTGACAATTTCATTCAGTTGTTGCTTTTGGCATTTGAATTACTCTCAGCCGCATTCTCAACCCATTCATCTCCTAATAGAGACCGTACAATAATCATTCATTAATTAATTCACCGTAATTTATTACAAGCTACTTTTTTCGTATGACGATATATAAATTGTGAGTGAGTTGTCGATTGTTTCCACAACACTCTCTCTCCCACAATAATGATCATAGTTTGACACGCCGATTGAACTCGGCGTCTGAAAAAGCACAAGATGTATGCGTGTACATATCTAATATTTTTTTAATAACAAATATATATTTTTTGTTTGCTAAATTAGCGATCTCATGGATAAGACGAGACCAAAAAATTGGACGATTGTCAACAAGAAGAAAATTTGAATCGTAAACATCGTCGTAATATATTTGAGTGCACCGAATTTTAGAGGTGTTAACATTGGCAATATAGCATAAATCTACAAATATTTACAAAGTGGCTGAGACGGGCAGTCATATTAAAGGTAATCCTCCCGCTTATTATTTTCTTTAGAATTTATTTATATTTTATATTTATTAAAAACATAAATATTTTATAGATGAGCGTACAGTGACAGACCATATAATTACAGTAAAAATACAACTTGAATACACAAACGTTCGATTTCATTGAATATTTTCCTTTAACAATATGTTGGTGCTTATTTCGCTGGTATATAAAACTTTCAATTTATTAGTCCAATTACGATATTCCGAAAAGTATGTTATTTTTCTATTCAGCTGCAGTACTTAATTAATAATTATGGTACATAAATCAGCTAATTATTGTTGTTTATATTTTATAAAAAATACGCTTGAATTCTTTGAGACTTTTATTATTCGAAAAATACTATTGCTGCTTATTATTTACGCATCTTCTTGTACTATTTTATGCTGAACACTCTAATAAACTATTTATTTGTTATATTTGTCTCCCAATACGTTTTGTGACATCATAAAGGCGGTTGATTCATAACACAAGTATAGGCTATTTCGTCTTCACGGTCACTATTTAAACTTAATGTGACCTCGTGTTTCTTAAATTCTAAGAGAAAGATATTGGCGCCTCTACATTACGAATGCCGTTCAAAAGATTTAAAAAAAATAAAGAGAATTTATGTTTATTTATTCTACAAACGATAACATCGGACAATGCTGAACAGAATTTTTAAGATCAATTACATGAGAATGGAATTTGAATTCATATGTTGGTACCCACATACATATAGTGTGGGTTCATTAATTTCTGTGTCGATTTATGTCCGTCCGCCTCACATGTCATATATTTCTGTAATCAACATATAAATTTTACAACGTTCATTATTTGGACCAGGTACGAGTCCTATCTAAATTATCTCGAATCTGCTCTAATGTATATGCATTCAACCACACCAATCGCTGTTCCTATACTGCAAGAATCTACTAGTTCTTACTATTTTGTTCGATATTATGACGGAAAATATGTTATCGTAGTAAAAAGTAGTAGATTTTTGCAGTACGGGAACAAACCAAAAATCTGTTTGATCAAATGTAAGGTTTGTTCGTTTGCTCAATAGAAAGAATGACTTGTTTTACTTAGAGTTTACCAATTCTTGATGGAAAATTTTGACTCAATTAAGAGTTTTTTGTCACCATAAGCTGATATTTAGTTACGCTTTATAAGCAGATGTGAAAATATTCTAAAATGTCTAACAATCATTTAATTTTTGGCATTCAACGGTATATTTTTGGAAAATCCCATCCTAAATCCATAATTAGAAGTAGTATGTCTGCGTTCTATTTCACGAATATCAAGATTTACATATTTTAATTATAACTTGTCCAATAAGGCCAGATGAAGTAAGGCCTATACTAGGTCGGACAGTAAGTCCATTTGATTATTAAGTTTGCTGTTAGACTATTTTTGGAAACTTTATATTATCTTGGGGAAAAAATCCATTATTTTTATATGAACAATAGGACTTTATTTAGCATGCTTCGGAATGTCCGATTTATGACAAATATGCACCGTTTTGTTTTATGATTTGTTGCCATTTTAAAGGTAAGTTCATAATGCCTACCTCATAGAAGACCTCTCTCTCTCTCTCTCTATTTGCAAAAAAAAAAAAATACTCTAGTAGTAGATTTTCACAATTCTCCCTAGATACCAATTTTGTATCATTAAAATTGGTATCTATTAAAATTGGTATCTGTATGGCGGATGCATTAAAACTTCCCAACCACTTCCCAACTTCTGGCGAGTCACTGTAGTTGTGTGTGGCCTAGCGTTCTCCTGGTGGAACACGACACCTCTCCTGTTGGTCAATTTTGGCCGTTTATGGTCAATTGTAAATGGTTTAAAACAGTTTTATGGTCGATAATGTCTCCGATTTTATCGACATTTTCGACGACCGGCCTACCAGTGCGAATGCATCTTTAACATCAAAAATTCTTGAACAGAATCTACGAAACCAAAATTGCACATAATTGGCTGTTACAGCATCGGAACCATAAACAACATTCACAATTTTAGCCGCTTGGCTTATATTTTCGCCATGTTAAAGAAAAATTGTAAAATGTACCGAATTTTCTCTTTGTTTACTTCCATTTTTAACGCCCTGTAACTCACAACGAATGCACAAAATGCACTCACAGGAAAATGAAATGTCACCCTTGCAACTAGCTTAAATCTGAAATTGTTTGATCGATATTTTACAAGAAATCTCTTAGTACAGTCATCTGCCGAAAAAATAATGGATTTCTTTTTCCCCAAACTAATATTATTATCATATTAAAAAATAGAAAACAAAATTTTTATATAAACGAAAAATAAAAATTGATCGTGTTATGAATTAATTTCGTTGACAAAAAAACAAAAATAATTTGTTCCAGCGTCAAAATAAAATTGTTATTAATCATAATAGAAATACCTGTTTTGAATTTCCTCGTTATGATGATGAATTTTATTTTCTTTATGACGGACATGCGAAGTTCTTAGGTACCTAGTTGGTTTGTGACAGAACATACGTTCCATAAGACGAGCTTAACAAAAATTCCAATTGTTCTCTTCTACTAGATCTTTCCATGCGAAGTTTAAGGTGTATAATTTAAAAGTTCACGTATAATATGTGTATGTATATTGTCTTATATATTCAAAGTATTGGCCGAAATGTTGTATCATTGGACAATATAAAATAAACATGAAAATCCTGAATAAAATTTAACACTAAAAAGGTGCGTTTTCACCGAACGTATTCTATCATAAATTATTATTAAAACCAAAATTCTTGCTCTGTTCCAAAACCTGAAGAAAAATGTTTGTTACTAAAAGTTTTACCACCTTTGGAAGAGTACGGGAACAATCCGCATATTTTGTGAAATTTTTAATAATTTTGATGAAGAAAAACTGAGCACATTCGTATATAATAAATGAAAAATATATATTTTACTTTTATAGTACATATTGTTTATTCAATAATTTATACCTATATTATATATCTGAAAAATGTAGATACGATATCAACACATTTTTACGCAAAGTTTTTTTTAATCCGAGCCAGACATTAAAGAATCGTCGACTTATTTCCATTTACAGTAGCGATAATGAAAAAAAAACTTTACCTATAATTACATAAAAGTAGAAAATTAATCTAAAATTAGATTATGACCTATTTTCCCTTTAAAAATAATTAAATTAAATTTTTCATTTTCTGTGGAAATACAATGATCACCTTGCATTGTTTGTCATCTTATAAAAATTGAAATAAGAATGTGCTTGAAGTTACGCATTCGTTTTTTTATTTGTGTTTAGAACTAAAACATTCGACGTGGATAATGCAAGGGCTGTTGGGGCTGTTGACCAGGTTGTCCCGACATAACTGTTATCTGTTGCTGTCGAGACATTTGTGTCTCGTGACCAACGGGACCACGGCCTGGTGCATATCCCTGAATGCTCGGCCCTGGTTTTGTACTCTGTAATAAATAATAACCCATTAGCATAGTCTGAAATATGTCAATGAATAAACATTTTCCTTACCTGTGGTGGTGGTGCGCCGCTACTTATCTGCATTACATTTGGATGCAAGGGCAAACTCGGTATGTAGACTACACTTTCAGATAACTGATGCGTTGGCGGTGGACCCCCGTGGGCGTCATGTTTAACCTCGACGTGATATCGATCCGAAATTTTTTCCATCGTAATCTGAGGCTTTTGCGATTGAACGCTGCTATTCACACTTCCGCCGGTCTGTGAACTGGGAGGTTGGTCCAGGTTTATATGATATACTTGTGTTGGTTTCTGTCCTGGTGCGTCCGGCTTCGACACAGGCACACTAGAGGCTGGCGGCAATTCTAGATGGTAGCCTTGGCGAAGTGGCAAATTATAATGGGTGTAAATAATCGCTGGACCTCTAGCATCAGGGGGAGCTTGTTGGGGCGGAGGAGGAGCGTTACTTGTTGTCTGGTAGAAAAGCGTCCCCGGTGTCTGATATTGTGTATGAGGTTCTACAAAAATTACATTAATGAAGAAATACGTGATATGTTTTCTATATGCATATTTAAAACATCTTACTGTTCCACAACACTCTGGCGGAATCTGCTCCACGACGTTCATCGTGTTCTAGAATTTAACGTACAAATTTATAATAAAATGACGAGTTGTGGGCAAACAAAATATGTTCGTTTATGAAATATGTGGTATAGAAAGGAATATAACTTACTTGGAGGATTGTAGTTGGTTTGCTTATAGTAACCGGGTTGTGTTGGTGAGGGACTACGCCCCCTTTTCACTGGAGGATTACTTGGTGGCTATTACATAGAAATTTTGTTATTAGCCTCTAATGTTGGTTGTCAATAATTGGTACTAGACTCACCTTTGTCAATACTGGCAGTTGCTGATGATGCTGCACTCGGACGGGTGGCAAAAACACTTGCGGTTGAGGTGCACTGGTGGTCTGAGCTTGCAAAGCCTGCATTGCATACATCGTCTCATTGTCTTTTTGTTGCTTCTTGCGATTCTCGTCTTCGTTCAAGACCTTCTTCAACTGTAAAAACAATTGTTGCTTCTGATTGTGCAGCTCGGTTAGTTTCTGCTCCAGTTTAGTGATCTGACCGCGAGTCTCTTCCAGGGTCATGTCATTCTCCCGTTCACGTGCCTCGCGTTCTTTGCGCTGTCTATCCTCCTCCAATTTCGCCTCAAACTCTTTTTGTTTCCACGTGCCATGAAAAGTTGGACAAAATAGGAGAATTTAGTGCCACGGAAACTAAATGATAACTAAACGTGATTACCTTCCTTCTTCCTCTGTCTTTCCTTTAGAATAAATGATTTTAAGGCACCACGAAGTTTTTCCTCCCGCTCGGCAGCTTTTGCCTGCACTGCCGCCGCGTTCGTGGCACTATTGGACCCCGAAGCGGGCGGCATTTTGGAGTTAAACTTCTTTTCCGTAATTTTGACGATTTTGTATAGCAAATTAACCAAAAAATAAATTAAATTATTAGCACTGTCTATAGTTGTATGGAATAATAAATAGATAATGCGACAGATGATGTAGATAAATGTACAAAAATACAACACTGTAAACGAAGTAAAAGCAAACAAAACGATGACAATTCACGTATTTACGAACGAGGTGAAAGCAAAGACGGCCAACTAGAAAGATCTTCTTCTTCTTCTTCTGACATATGTTTTCATATATCAATTCCACCGTGTTTGGGGTGGAATTTAAAGTGGCAGGAGACACTGAGTCTATGTTGCCACCTTCACGGGTATTCATATATTTCATGGGATTTTTGTGTTTTACGGGTAGAATTAATTGGCTTATATTTCACTATAGTTTTGATTAGTTTTTGTTTTTAAATTCGTATAGCTGCATCTTTGTAGTATTTTGCTAAGGCAAAGTATGCCCTAATATTATTAGATTTTAGTATTATATCGATTGAATGTTGATAAATTCCGAGTTTTTGTAGATTTTGCAATAAAGAACGTCTGGTATTTTGGTCAATGTCAGGGCAATTAAAGGTGATGTGGTCCATAGTTTGGATGTCTCCACAATCACATCTGTCGGAGCTGGTTATGTTAATTTTGTGGAGATGATGTTTCATCTGATTGTGGCCAAATCGTAGTCTGATTGTTGTTGTTGCGACACTTCGGGGCATTTTAACACTTCGGAACCAAGGAATACAGTTGACTTTGGGGGAAAATGAGTAAAATCGTCTGCCATATATACTTCCATTCCATTTTTCTTGCCAAGATGTGACTGCCGAAGATTTGTCGTTTTGTCTCAAGTCAGATGGACATAATTTTGGGTAAGAATCGGTTGGATTATGGTTAGTGGCAATGAAGTCCACATACTCGTTACCATCGATGCCGCTATGGCTAGGCACCCATAGAAAGTGTATAGTGTAGGCCTCCCTAGACATTTGGTAAACCTCATCTTTTATTCTGTAAATAAAGGGATGGGTATTTCTAGAGTTTAGGGATCCAATGGCCTGAAGGACTGATTTGCTGTCAGTGATGAGTACATATTTCCCAGGATCACAGGTTTTGATGAGCATTAAAGCTTCAACAATTGCATAAGCTTCCGCGGAGAAAATAGAACAGTGTTTATCTAACGTGAAGGAAGCTTCGATGTCCAACGAAGGTATCCATAAGGCACAGCTGGTTTTGTCTGCAGTTTTTGAGCCGTCAGTGAATATTGTTTTGAAATCGGGAAATTTAGTATGCATGGTGTTGTTGTACATATTAACAATGTCTGATGTTGCCGATCGATTCTTAAAGATGTCCAGAAATGTTATGTTTGGGAGTAGAAGGATGGCTTGAAGCGGATAGTTATATTGAATAGGTCGATGTAATCTGATGAGGTTATTTCTTGCTATTTTCTCATGGTACAGTTGGAACAATGTAGGGCGGGACTGATAACGATCGTTATATTTTTGGATAAATTTATTTGTTGGATTCCTGCAATCAGCAATAATATTATTAATATAATTACTGGCCAGGAATTTAAATCTCTCCGGCAATGGCATAACATTGGCCTCTACTTCCAACGATTGTGTATGTGTGGAAATCATTGCTCCCAGAGCAGTTCGTAGTGCACGAAATTGAATTCTTTGTGCCTTGAGGATTTTGTTCAATGGACAATCAAGTAGAAGATGTGCCATATACTCAATTTTTGGCCTTACCACTCCGATATATAGGCGAATGAGTTGTTGCGGGTTGCCTCCCCAAGATACACCACAAAGTGACCGGATAATGTTCATGAAGTGGAAAGTAGTTTTATGTAAATGATCAATGTGTGGTCCAAAGCCAAGTTTAGAGTCCATAATGAACCCTAGGAAGTTAAAGTTATTAACAGATTCAATACGTTCGCCATTGATATGAAAATCAATCTGTAAATGTACGGATGAACGATTAGAAGGGTTGAAAATCATGTATTTTGTTTTTTGCGGTGAAAGTTCCAATTGTAGGCTTTCAAGTCTGTTGACCAGGCAATTTAGTGCACGCTGTATTTTCCTTTGAGCAACAATGAGATCGGTATCTGAACAGAAAACGACAAGGTCATCTGCATAGCCTAAGATTTCCACTTCTAAGTCCTTGAATATGTCATTGATGTACACATTGAAGCTCAACGGGCTCAAGACGGAGCCCTGCGGTGTTCCTGTAAAAGACCTTCGTGTGTGAAGATTTTCGGTGTCAATGATAAGTTCTTTGAAATAAAATAGACGATGTATTATAGAACAGGTGTGATCACTTATGCCGAGCTGCTTATATTTTTCAACTAAAATGTTGATGTTTACGTTGTCGAAGGCACTTTTTATGTCGAGGAATGTAGCTATCAAATATTTGTACTCCCTTTTTGCTAGTTGAGCTGATGACCATAAGCAGGTAACATTATCCCGTGTCGATCTGTTTTTGCGGAATCCAGATTGGGAATTGTTTAATTTGTTGTTAGATTCTATTTGGTGATCAATCCTGCGAAATAGCATACGCTCGAATATTTTGCGCCAACAAGAAATTAAGGCAATAGATCTAAAAGAGTGTGGATCATCAACAGGTTTACCTTTTTTGTGTATGGGGCATATCTTATATCGCATCCAAGAGTTTGGAATATCTCCAGTGCGCCAAACATGATTATATAAGAATAATAATTCGTTTTTTACCTCATCGCTAAAGTCCTTCATGTGGCCATGACGAATGCCATCAAGGCCTGCGCTGGTATCCTTGGAAGTTTTTATAGCTGCATTCAATTCATCCATAGAAAAGACACTATCACTTAACGTAGGGTTCACAGGAGATGGTGAATTTATTGGGCCAATTGGTCCAGACAGTATGTCGTAGAATTTATCAACGCACGCTTCTGGTATGGTTTGGATTTTATTGGTGTATTTCCCTCTGAACTTTTTAACTGTATTCCATAGCTCTGTTGGAGTTATATCGGCGTCTATATTTTCGCACATTGTTTGCCATCCCTTTCGCTTTTCTTCCCTTAGGGTGTAGAAGTATTCTTTTTGGCAAACCTTGAGTTTTTCATTGTTGTCTCTGTTTGGCAATTTTTTAAAACGCGCAAGGGCCTTAGTCAACTTAGCTTTGACTTTTTTACAATTCAAATTCCACCAGCCATTATCGGGGTACACTTTTTTTCCAATTGGAGCCTTAAATTTTTTGTAAAATTTTTGAGACAGATATTCAAATTTCATTGCGTCAGCACAATTGGCATACAAGTTATCTTCAAATATTTCAACCATACCATCATTGAGACGGGCTTGCCGTATGTATTTTGGGATGCCATAAGTGGTTTTGCGATAAGTTTCGGATATATTTACATCAATAATTATGGCACAGTGGTCAGAACCAAAGCATTCATTTAGAGTATACCAAGTAGAAACCAAAGCGATTGCAGGACTACAAATTGACAAATCTAGTGTTGAAGGGGTTGTACAGCCGAAATATGTTTTAGAGCCGTCATTCAAGAGAACGAGGTCTTTGTCTTCAATGAATTGAAGCATGTTCTCGCCACGAGCATCAGTATTACTGCATCCCCATATCTGATGATGGCAGTTAAAATCACCACACATCATAACTTTGGCATTTTGCGGAACAAATGAAACAATGTTCATGAGATCAGTTGTATTGAAGGTCACGTTGGGTGGAATATAAATGGAAATAATTACAATTTGGCCGATTTCGCTGTTTATACAACAAGCGATTATTTCTAGATTTGTATTTAAAATATTGATGTCAATGTTGGTGAATTTAATATGTTTCTTGATTAGTATGGCCACTCCGCCACCGTAGTTAATCCGGTCTTTTCTTATAATGTCATAGCTGGGAATTGAGAAATCATCCGTTTTATCCAGGTACGTCTCCGAAACGCAAACAATGTCAGCACCTGAATCTTTCAGGAATTGAGACAATTGCGGTTTTTTATTTCTAATGCTTCTTAAATTTATTTGAAGAATCTTCATGGTCATTAAAACGTATTTGGAATTTTATTAAATTTTCTTTTCATTCCTGCTTTGGCATTTCCTTTTATCTTTGGACGTTTCGCGTTTATTTCTGGAAAATCTTCTTGCGAAAAGATGAAATTGTTTGGACATATAGTTTGTTTAGCAACTTCGGGTTTTGCCCTGATCTTCGGGGCTTTTTCTTCAGCATCCTTTTTTGCCTTTTGCCTAATTGCTTCTCGAATTTCACAGTGGTTGGACCTTGAGTCGTGTGGCTTTCCGCAGTTAACACACTTAGGTATTAATAAACAGATGCCTGAGTGCGTGGTGCCACAGCGTGGGCATAGGTCGTGCAATCGATTGCAAACTTTGGAGGAGTGTCCGTACCTCCAACACCTCTTACATTGAAGTATCCTCTCAATAAACGGTTTTACGGGAAAGAAGACCTTGTTTAGGCATATGTGAGATGGTAATTTGTCACCACAGAAAGACAACATTACCGCTTCCGAATTGATTCTACCACCTTCATTGGAGGGGTCAGGTTTGGTGAAGCGCTTGACTTCAGTTATATCGACGTTCTCAGCAATCGGTTCATATTCGGCTTTGTGCTTGATGATTAGATTTTCAAATAGAAATTTTTCTGTGAGTTCTTCGTCCGCTGGTATTTGTACTACAGCCTTTATTTCGCAAAGCTCAGCAGGTATAAAGACGCTGTATTTCTTGCGAAAATCCTCATTAGCAGCAATGATATTAATAGTGTCACGATCGTTGCAAATGATTTTTAATTTACGCTTCGTGACAAAATGCGTTTCTAAATTTCCATATTTCTCGTGTAGATCATTAGCAATTTTCATTATTGGGATGCTTGATCTTTTTTGGTATGACTGCAAAATTGCAATGTATTCACGTCTGTAGCACGTATATTTTTTTATTCGGGGTAATGGGTATGTGTACCCATCTTCCAAAGTAATTTCATCGGGCTCAGGCCAGACCATTTTCACTTATTCAATTATGAATGTGAAAAAAAGAATTCTAATGATTTTTCACTTG